ATCATAACTTTACGGTTGAACCGCTCATGTCACATGACTATTTTAATGATGTTCTTGCTACTTTTCAGGGCCATAAAACATTTCAGTTGCATTGCTGTCTATGCAGGGTCAGAAGGCTCTTGGATATCATCAAAAATATCTTAATTTGTGTTTTGAAGATGAACGGAGGTCTTACGGGTTTGGAACGACATGAGGGTGAGTAATGACAGAATTTTCATTTTTGGGTGAACTATCCCTTTAAGCCATGCTGTGACCTCTCTCAGGAGGCCTGTATCCTCCTTGTTGAGGAGTTAATCTGAAAGGACAGCTCAGCACCATACTGTAACTACAGCCAAGTTCAGAGACTTAAAAGAACTTCAGCCCAGTCTCATTCAAGGACTACATCGCTTTCTGGCCTGATTTCTTAGAATTACACAGAAATGCATTTACTTCGATGTCCTCAGTAAAAATATATCCAAACTTAAACAAGATTAATAGATTATACAAGAGCAAGAAACATGATGAGACTCATGTTTTGAATAGTTTCTCAAAAAATGTCAATTCTGCCATAATATACTCATGTTGTTCCAAACCAGTGTGCTGTTATTTTTTTCAGAAGAACACAAGCTGAAAGCTGTCGCATGGCTTCAGAAGACTTTGTCACACAGATTGTATGGGCCACTTTTATTTTATTTTTGTGGTGTTTTTTCTTTTCTTTTGGAGCTTGACATAGCATTGACAGTATGAATTGTTGTATAAACACTGTGTGCAGATTCTTCTTCTGTTTAATGTTGTGTTTTTGTACCGTATATTTCTACTTTTGGGAGTTTCCATGTAAAAAAATAACAGCACATGGTTTGGAACAACATTTAATATTGCTTTTATATTTTTTGAAGTAATTAATATCAAGACTATATTAATATTTCTTATCCACCAATGAAAATAGTTCCAGAAAAAGCAAAACATCAAGCCCTGCATTTTTCCAAGCAGCACACAGACCAAAAGCCAGTCTGGAAGAGCCTATGCAAGTGGAGCAGAGTGACCTCTCTCACTCGAAGCATTCTATAGTCACTCCGCTCCAGATCCACTCCAAGTTTTTTTACCTCACTGGTGAGAGAAATCTGCTGTGGGATGATTATTGTGGTCAAGAGTATGATCTATTTAAGTCATACATCATACTAAGAAGACACTATGCTTCTTGTTCCACAAGCTGAAAGATGTAGTTCCAAGTAGACAATTTTGCAAGGCTGTTTGTTGAAACTATGGTTTTGGGAAACACTGAGTCATTGAACTATGTTAGTAACTATGCTTTTGGGAAATGCACCAATTATAGAGTGAGAGAAAACACCACTGATCAGACTTTTAAAATTTCCACTCCTTTGCGAAAGAAGACATTTTTTAACAAAAAACCCATGAATGACCTATCAGAATCAAGTATTCCAGAAGGGGGGTGTAATAAATAAGGTTGATTACAAATAGTTTCCTATTCTATTCTAATCTGTCAATTCATCTAGCCATCCTTGCATCTATCCATCTCTCTCTTCAACTTATGCAACTACTGTATCAGAAAAACAATGGATTTTTTTTACCTGGGTAGATGTAAAGTTCTGCAAACTACTTCCTCCCCCTGCTACTGTTTCTTGCTGCTGCCTGTCATTTTGGAACACAGTATGTATAGAGCCTCAGAGGTGCTTGTGCTGTCAATGCATTAGGCATAAAAGGCTTCACTCGCTGTCTAGCACAGTTATTTTCTAGACAGCACCCAACTGTTCATTTTTATAAAACGAAATACTTTCAGGAAAACATGATGCATACACATACAATAATTATATAACATTCAGTATTTATATTACATTCAACACAAATATGATATGTAGATTCCATCTGGGCCTATAATATATATATACATACATACATACATACATACATACAAGGGGCGTTCCCTCCGAGGAGGCAAGGGAGGCAGTGTCTCCTTAAAAAATTGGATGACAAAATAATCAATATTACAAACATAAATCGCAAATATTACTAAATATGGCATTAAAAGTATAAAAGTCACTCGTTTTTATAAAGTAACACTGTCAAACAGCGACACCCGCAGGTAAAGTTACAGCGGAGGCTTGCCTCCCTTCGCTCCATAGACTTTCTACAGAGATCCTAAATAAAGCGTGCTGTGACTTTTCTGCAGGCTCATTGAGATGAATGGGAGAAAGTCACGTGAGAGGAGGCAATGATGGTATAAAGTAACACTGTCCAACTGCGACACCCGCAGGCAAAGTTACAGCGGAGACTTGACTCCCTTCAGTCCATAGACTTAAAACAGAGACCCCTTAGCGTGCCGTGACTTTTCTGGGTTGTAATTTAGATGAATGTGGGAAAGTCACGTGAGAGGAGGCAATGCCTCAATCGCGCTGTAATTGGATATGATCGGTTATGGTTGAATGTGATTGGTTCGTGCGATAAATCCTGCCTCTTGTTTTCGTGCGAGCTCTCGGCATGAATTAAGAAAATTATGGCGTTATTGACTAATTATAAAGTAAGTAAACAACTCTCCCGCTTAGATACCACTACTTTGTGTCACGTCAAAATAAAACTTGAAATGGTCTGAAAACGTGATGATTGCGTCTGTTTTTAGTGAGCATTCAAAGTGATGAAATGAAAAGATATATCTTTGTGTATGTGGTAGTGTTTACAGGTCTTTTATGACGATGATCCGAAATAAGTTGACTATTAAAAAGAACAGCTGAACATCAGTTCACAAATAAAAAAAATATTGGTAACATTTTACAATAAGGTGTGATTTAATGAGTTAACTAACATGAACACACAATGAACATTTATTACAGTATTTATTAATCTTTGTTTACATTAGTTAATACGAATACTGTTCATTGTTAGTTCATGTTAGTTCACAGTGCATAAACTAATGTTA